GGCAGAGTGGAGTGGAGTCAGCATGAGCTGCAGGCTCCTGGGCAGTGAAGGGGCAGCAAATGAGCCCAGGGGACACTCAGGGGAGACGCGTGGGGGTGGCAGGTGGGGCCGGGGGAGAGACCCGGCCCCAAACATTGGGGACCAGGGAGCTTAGCTGCCACATAAAATAACTCGGGGGGCGGGCGGGAGCTTGGCGGGCCGCAGGGATGTGGCCCGCGGGCCGCGTGTTTGAGACCCCTGATCTAGTATGATTGGCAATCTGGTGAAATTATAAGTCCAGAGAGTGAAAGCTGAGCAAATGAGAAGGGAAGGAATTTTTAATCATACTTTTAAAACATTTTTTTCAAGTGTAACACCGCTTTAACTATTTAACCTGTTCGACTAATATACATTTTGGAGAAAGGATGTCGTTGCTAAAGAAATACTCCCAACCCTTCAAGGTAAGTTAAGGTGTTTCAGTGTAAAATACACATCCTCTGAGGCATCCAATAAATGTTTTGCCAACACCAGAGAAGACCAGACTTGACATTTCTGATATTTCCAAAGCCAAAAAACAAAAACTTGCTCTTTATCCATCATAAAGAAGCAAAAAAAGATTCACAAGCCAAATTTTTAAAGATTCTCGGTGGGTCACTTTTCACATCCTCCATACCTGAGTCTATTTTGAAGGTCTTGTATTTCATTAATGGTTTTTAATGGTACCCAGATGCACTGGGCACTTCTAACACCCTGATCTCACAGATACTGACAGATGTTCATAGTCCTACTAAAGTGTTTTTCATGGCAGAAACAGGTTGGGTATCGAGGTAAAATGTCTGAAATAGGGAGAGCCGAGAGGCCATTTGGGGATGAATTCAGATCAGAGATACAGCAGTCTGATATTTCACTGCTCCCTGACTCCTGTTTGATAAAACAGTAGACAAAACCTTTGTCAACTCCTATGTCACCTGAAATTTCTTTACTGACAATGAGTGAAACCTCATAACCTACTTGTGTGGTTTTACTGACCCTATTTTATAGATGGGATGCAAATAGCGCTGTGTCATGAAAACAGCAGGGAATTTGCAGGAAAGTGCTACACTAAGGTTCATATCATAGAGCTATATTTTATTGAAGAACCGGGTGCAGAAAGGCAGGTGTCCCTGGGAGTGGGCCTATTTAAATCTTGATCCGAAGCTACACCAGTGTGATTGGATGTTGATCGCCATGTAAAGACAATGGTCGTACGTTTTAATTAATCAATATTTAAAAACCCAGTGAAAAGAGTTTGCCCCAACATACTGGGTTCCAGAAAAGCCATCGCTGTAATATGATAGCTCAGCTGGGCCGGGAAACGTGGGAGATTGCCACGGTGTTGAGAAGGATCCGGACTGGGGTTGCCATTGGGGAGGGTGGGAGACGTGTGTGTTCAGGTGGAAGGCAAGTGCCCCTCACTAGACTTTGGAAGCTGCCTGTTTGAAAACAAAGAGGTGTCAGTAATAATGCAATGGTCACTTCGTTTGCATGGAGAAAATACAGGCTGACGGGGCTGCTAGCCACGGGCAAAGGGGAAGGTTCAAGGATCTTAAATCCCCTCCCATCCTGCAAAATTTAAACACTCCGATTTCTAGAAACGCCCCTAATCCCCCATGTCTGATCGAGGCAGATTTAGTCCTTGTCAGAGTCACCCTGAGGCTGCGATTAAAACGGCTGGTCTTAAAATAATTTCTTAGGGCAATTAGTGTCCGAGCAGGAAAAGGGAGAGCTGCAGGGGGCGGCCCTTCCCCGCAGCCCTCTCCTGCCACCTTCAGCTCCTGGCATCTTCTCTTTGCAGCCCCGTTCCGCCCCCCCCGGGGCATCTCACCCGCCCGGCTGCCCCAGCTTCAGGTCTCTACGGCCTCCAGGTGGCGCAGCTCCCTCGCTGCAGCGGCCTGGTCCCTGGGTCGCAGAGGCACAGGCGTCCCTGCCAGATGGGTGGGGAAGGGAAGCAGATAAGGCGGGTCTGTCTGGGGAGGCGGCCGCTGCAGAGGGGCGGGGTGCCGGACTGGGTAGCCCCTTCCTCCCCTCTCTCTCCCTGGTGCCGCTGGGACTAGGGCGGGGCAGAGCCAGGAGGATCGGACACGGGCCGAGGGAATTCGAGCTTCGCAGGTACCTGAGCGGGGCAAGGGAGGGACTGAGCTGTTTTAGGGAAGGGTGGGTACCTCTCTAACACTACAAACCTCCGAGATCCCCACAGCCTTTAAGCCTAATACCAGGGATCCATAGGGGACACCCTGGGGCATCCTTCATCGTAGGAATCTGTAGGGGACCCCAATACTTAAAACCTTAGGGCACTAGAAATGGGGTACCCTGTGTGGAAACCCTAATAGCTAGAGATCTCTCAGGGGTACCTGGAGACTGCTGGGGAGCCCTGGTACTGCATACTCCTGGGCAGACCCTAATCCTATAGATCCTAATATTAGGAAATTCTCAGAAACCCCAGTCCCCTGAGCCTTTTGGAGTCCCCTTATGGCACGTAAAGGGATCCTGGTATGGGGGGGGGGGTAGAGTTTGCTCTCGGTTATGTGGCTGAACGCCCATTGACTTCAGTGGCGCTATTCCGGATTTACACTGGCAGAATTTGGCCCTTGAGTTTTAGGGGAGTCTGACACCTGTACATAGCTGGGTCCTGCGGACGCAGTCCCAGCAACCAAGTACAAAAAAAATCACAGCTCTGTTTTGGATCAGTTTCTGCCTGTCTGACAAAAGTTTTTCAGAACTTTGAGAAATAAGATAAAAATTCAATTGAGGTGAAATTGATCCCGACAGGGGACACGGAGTTTAAGCCAGCAACGGAAGTGAGTTTTGCTGATCCTGCCCCAGTTTAAAAGAAACCACATAGTGACTGACATTTAAAATAAAACCACTTTTATTTGCGCTTTTGACAGGATGTTTACATGTGTATACACAAGCAAATACACATGTAAACATTGAGGGCCAGATGCTGCAACCTTTACATTAAGTAGTACTCCATGGGACTACCGGTGTAAGTGCTACTGAATATGAGTCAGGGATCCATCGTGGGAGAGTTAGTTTATGGCACTGTTGCACGCCTGGAGGTGACCTGGGTATTTGGTGCAGCACTGTTGCAATCTAGTTAGGTACGTAGGAGTTCTTGATTAAGAGTGTAAATGAATTTGGTATTTTCCTAGGTACTATACAGGGCCCTTATTATTTCTTCGCTCCCACTATGTTGTAAGAAGTTCACTAGTGAAAGATTAGTGCTGCCCAAACCAGTCTTGGGGCTGCCTGATTTAAGCTGTTACCTGTTTCCTATCTTCTGTTTTGTTTGGCCACATGGAAGGTCATAGCGTGAATGATATATTTCCTTGCTACTGTTAACTTACTGTTAAGGCTCTGAATCAGAGGTGATGCTAACTTACAGGAATATTTTTGGGTCCCTTCTCACCGCCCCCACTAAAAAATACTAAGTGCATTATTTCCACAAACCAAAAAAATATACCGACACAACACATACTAACACACTTGTGTTAACAAGTCCACGTTAAATAAGACGAATGGTACTTTGGGTGTAATACTTAATCGGGGAACCCTTGAGCTGCTGGGGGCCCTAAGCAAATACTTAGACTGCTTATGCCTAGCAAGCACTACCACTGCTTCAAATACATATTTCTATTGCCTTGTAGATCCTGGAGCAGTGTCTCCTAAAATGTAGCAAAGTGGGGCCTTAACTTCACTGGGAATTTGCACCGATTCCAGCAATTGATGAACCAGCCATCCACCAATATAGCTTGGAGTTGGGTAAGCACCACCCAGGCAAATCGTGGCTTTCCTTGTCTCCACCTGGGGTTTGCACTGGTGTGCAGCTACACTGATGGCTGGAATCAGGACATATTCTCAGTGCAGACAAGGCTTGAGGTTTTTACCAAACCGTGGAAGATTTTCTATCACTTAATGTACGTGACCATAATGTGTTTGAATCAGGAAGCATGTGTGCAGCTGCCTTCTTGCCCGTGCCTTCCCGAGCAGGGATCAGGATGGTTTCAGTTCTTTTTGTTGAGGATTAGTTGGAGGGTGGAAGAAGCTGGTGATCACATTCCATTGTCATCCTCCCCATTCTGGTGATTCCCATCAGGAGGAGAGGAGGGTGGCATGAGCAGTTTGGAGTGTGTGTGTGGGGGTCATGGCAAGTATCTCATGTCATTTCACTTCTTCTTAGGCGTGGCCCCCTTAGCCTTCACTGTTTTGGGTTTCTTGGGCTTGGAGTTTGGAGGCTGCCTCCACAAGAGTTTTCTGTCTCGAACCCTGGAATTCTTTTATATAATGTGATTTCAGCACTAATCAGACCTGCACAGATTAGGAAATATTATTTTGTCCCCAAGCTTATTTTTTCAATATCACAGTGGGGTCTAGTGGGCCCAACCAAGGATCATAGAATCATAGACTAACAGGGTTGGAAGGGACCTCAGGAGGTCATCTAGTCCAACCCCCTGCTCAAAGCAGGACCAATCCCCAACTAAATCATCCCAGCCAGGGCTTTGTCAAGCCTGACCTTAAAAACCTCTAAGGAAGGAGATTCCACCCCCTCCCTAGGTGTAACCCATTCCAGTGCTTCACCACCCTCCTAGTGAAAAAGTTTTTCCTAATATCCAACCTAAACCTCCCCCGCTGCAACTTGAGACCATTACTCCTTGTTCTGTCATTTTTGGACAGAGTTGGATCTCATTGTGCTAATTGCTGAACAAACCTAGAATAACAGTCCCTGCCTCAAGGATTTTACAATCTAAATAATCTTCTAGACAGACAGTGGGGGAAAGGGATGCAGTGTAGAAGCTGAGCAGAAAGCAATCTTTTCGTCTGAATGCGTGTGGTTCATCTTCAGCTATCAGCCTGAGGGGGCCATGTATCTGTTTTGATGTAGAGGTAATGATAGCCGGTCAATAATAATAATAATAATTAATAATAAATAATACCCCAAGCTTGTCTAAGGGTACATTTATCCTGTGACAAAAGACCCATGTCATCATGGCCACAGCTGGCCCAGGTCAGATGACTCGGGCTCCCAGGGCTCAGGCTGCAGGGCTATAAAATCGCAGTGTAGATGTTCAGGCTCAGGCTGGAGTCTAGGCTCTGAGACCCCCAAGAGTGAGGAGGGTCTTAGAGCCCGGGGTCCAGCCTGAGCCCAAATGTCTATACTGCAATTTTTAGCCCCACAGCCAGTCAGCTGACCTGGGCTTAGGGTTGCCAACCCTCCAGGATTGTCCTGGAGTCACCAGGAATTAAAGATTAATCTTTCATTAAAGATCATGTCATGTGAGGAAAACTCCAGGAATTCATCCAACCAAAGTTGGCAACCCTACTCGGCTATGAGACACGGTGCTGTGTGGTTTCTTACCACAGTGTAGCTGTACCCTGAGCTGTTCCAATGGTTTCATGTCTGAAATGTAAGAGTTAATCTAACACGCCCCGTTGCACTGGGTCTGGAATGGAGTTTGAACTTTGTGTTTAAACAAGGCTTTAGCAAGTAGAGTTAGGGTAGACAAAAATTTTTAAAAAACGTTCTAGCCTAGAACAGGGTCTTCTTAATACACTTCCAAGGCCAGTGTGAATGCAGTAAAAGGAGCCAAGAAGTCTGGTTTTTGTCTCCTCAGGGACAGTAGTTTATGAGTAGACTGCAACTACATAACAGTTTGCGCCCACAGATGTGTTAGGGAATCTAAATGATGTGTTTAGACTATTTGTGTTTTGTAACTAGTGTTTTTATAAGGCCATATGGAAAATTAAGAACTGCAAAAAGCAGCTAAGACTTAGAACACTTTACCAACTCTAAAATGCAGCCCCCTCTGAGGTAGAACACACCAGCTGTTTAACCACTCACAGCATCACTATGCAAGCATTTAGGACAGGGAGTGAAGGGGGATGCTGAATCCCATTTGTGGGGGGGGGTTGGGTGGTGGAACGTAACTAATTGAGTTACAAGTTTGTCCAGGATGTTGGGGCTTGGGCCATCACAACCTGCTACTGGCTAAGCAGGTGAAGATTAGTGATCACTAGCTAAGAATTGTGCACCACCTACTATATTTAGGTATTATCCAATCTTCCTCACCCCCTCCCACTCATTTATCTCCTCTTCCTGTTATGCCTTGCCGTTTTTGCTTTCTAAGCTCTTAGGGACATGGACTGTCATTCATTGTATATTTCTACAGCACCTGGCCCAATGGGGGTCAAACTTGCTTGTGGCCTCTAGGCCCTGCTGTAATATAAATAATAGTGTTTAAACCCAAACAAATAAAACCCTCCATGCTACTTTTCATTCTTCATTTATTGTAAATGTCAGGAGAACATTATCTCTGATAAGCAGATCTGCTAAGATTTAACAACAACAAAAAACGAACCCTACATGTTGATCCCCTATAATGCTGCTCTTAAAACCAAACTAAACTTTCCTTTCTTCTCTTTATGAAGGTTTGCTTGCTTGGCAGCAATTGAGTGTACGGGTCTCCTTGTCATGGCAACCATTGTCCCGGAAAAACTTACCCGCCTTTTCATTAATGTGCAGCAGCTTTGGCAGGTCCCCAGGCTGCTGGAAATGGCGTTCCCCTCGCCTCCCTGCACTGTGGGCACCTCAGATGTGCCTAAGGTCTTCTGGAAACCCTACATTCACACCGGCTACAGACCCCTCAACCGGACCTGGAAGTATTACTTCTTGACGCTTTTCCAGCAGCACAACGAAGCTGTCAACGTCTGGACTCACCTCGTGGCAGCTCTGATCCTGCTTCTGAGGTTCCAGCGGCTTTCCCAGACGGTGGATTTTGTGAGCGATCCTCATGCCCATCCCCTGTTCATCATTGTCATTGCTTCTATCACCTACCTAACCTTCAGCTCCCTGGCTCACCTCCTCCAGGCCAAATCAGAGTTCTGGCATTATAGCTTTTTTTTCATGGACTATGTGGGAGTAGCCATTTACCAGTACAGCAGTGCCTTGGTGCATTATTACTATACCATTGAGCCAGACTGGCATGCAAGGATCATGGGGTTTTACATGCCAGGAGCTGTTTTGCTAGCGTGGTTATCCTGTGTAGGTTCCTGTTATGCTAAATATAGATACCACCAACTTCCTCGCCATCTGAGCAGGCTGTGTCAGGAAATGCCCTTGGGCCTGGCGTATGCGCTAGATATTAGCCCAGTAATTCACCGGCTCTATACAGCTCAGCCCTCCGAGCAGGCGGATCCAGCCCTTTTATACCACAAATGCCAGGTGTTGTTTTTCCTTATCGGTGCTTTTTTCTTCTCATACCCTTATCCAGAGAAATGGTTTCCTGGGAAATGTCACTTCTTTGGGCAGGGGCATCAGATCTTCCACGTGTTTCTGGTGCTGTGCACCCTGGCCCAGGTGCAGGCGGTGGCTCTGGACTATGAGTCAAGAAGGGAGATTTACACCAGTCTGCACGGTGACCAGACTCACAATTTCTCTGCCCTGTGCTTCTTCACCATAGCCTGCTGCCTCCTCACTGCCGCTTACATGACCAGCAAAGTGAAGTGCAAACTGAACTGCAAAGGAGAATGAAAGCTGTGGAGGGGAAGCTCCCGATCTCTCCGAACCTGGCTGTTTGAGGGGATGCCACCATAACCATCTGGCTGTGGACTGTATTTTAAAGAGTGATGGAATGCTTGGAAATGTGCTATTGTTAAGTGATCTGCAAAGGGAAAATGCTGGGAGTTTGTGCTCTTTGGGGTTTTTTATGATGTATAAAGAAGACCTGCAAAGGTGTATGTGTGTATAAGTGTTAAAACATTTTCTTTTTCTACTTATTTTCTGCCTTAGAAATTCAGGTCCTGTCTTTAAAAGGCCTCAATGAAGAGCTGGGAGCAACGCTCTCTTTGCTAAACATGCCTCCTGCTGTCCTGGCATCTATGGGCTGAGAAAGCTGACTTGCACAGCTGAGATCCTAAGTGAGTCTTCTAGCAAAACCAGGAGTGGCCAGCTCTGACATTCCTGATATTTCTCAGGCAGAAGTTAAGACAGAAAAAACAAGTCCAGCTTGTCTTTACATTTTGCAGAGAAGCAAACAAGGGGACAAGACAAACATTTTTTTTCTGCTCAGGTCACTTTATATAGCACAGTAACTTTACATGGCACTTTACACACAGAGAAAGACATGTGGCCTGCCCTTATCATCTAAATAAGACAAGATACACTGAAGACAAGGCCCTGTCAGGAGAGAGGAGGAGGTTATCAGTAATGATGAAGAGGAGAAGGGAGGAAGGATAGCTGGAAGAAATGGGTTTCTAAGTGGGATCTGAAGGAGGAAAGAGGCCAGTAGGCCACTGAGAAGAGGGAAGCTTTGTCTATACTGGCCCTGTACCCCTAAAAATTCCTTCTGTTGCTACCACTGGTGCAGTTCCATTGCAGGTAACAATAATGTGAGTGCTACTGTAAAGGAAATACCGGTGTTTTAACCACTGTGTCTTGCAGACCTGATCTGGGTGATAAAAACACCGGTGGCCAGTCTATACTACAGCTGCCACCACTGTCACTACACCAGCGTTGGCAACAGTGGTAAAGAGAGACACTCCTGTAAACATAGCCAGAGTGTGTCCCAAGCACGGGGGCGCATGAATGCAGAGGTGAATCTGCGGGTGGGAAAAGGAGCAGAAGGAAGGGGACATGCGAGCAGTGAGAGATAGGTGGGGGGCGAGATTGGTGAGTACAAGGAGCCTAGATTCGACGTGGCCAGAGATGGGAAAGATTCAAGATTGGGGGCGGGGGGAGGCTGGGCTGAAGCAGCTGGAGTGTGGTGGAGGGCAGGAAGATGACTTTAGCAGCAGCTTTGGGGACAGACTAGTGAGGAGAAGATGATTGTGTTCAAGGGAAGGGGGATTTAGCTGGGGGTGTGGGCTGCAGCAGCTGGGATAATGAAAAAGGGCCAATGTTAGTGATGAAGCAGTGATTGAGATTTAGCAAGAATTTGGCTATGGAGGAGAAAGAAAGCCGAGGCAAAGATGATCCAAGATTCTGGCCTGGGAGGTGGGAAGGACAGTGGGGGAGGTGGGGTGAACAGAAAAGTTTAAAACGACTGATTTGAATCTAGACTTAATTTTGGTTCTAAAATTGGTTCCAGTTCCTGCCAGGACCTGATCTCATTCCACCCCCTCCTCCCGGTTTCTCTTTCCTCTGGTGCCCTCACTGATCTAGACTAAGGCCTTGTCCACAGTGACGAAATTGACCAAGTCCTGAAATGGCTTTCTCACTCTGTCCAGTCTGGAAGGGTTTCAGGAACCTGGCTACTTCGGCTGCTCCCGAAGATGGTTTTCAATAACCAGGGTAAACAATAAATGTTCTGCCCTGTCTAAGCTGGGCAGCAGCAGCCTACAAAGCAGGTTCACCTGAAACCGTTTTTAAGAGCGGTCATGGAAAAACGGTTTCAGAAAGCTGTCATTTCCAGGGGCCGGAGTCTGCTGCCATGTAAAGAATCCAGCTGCCTGATCCGGTTGGCGTAGTGAGGGCTGCAGGAGGCATCACAAACCTCTCAGGGCCTAAGTCAAATCCCAGCAAGTCGACAGTATTTTAAATAAATGCATTGGCCATATGCATAGTTCTTAAAGCGACACAAATTTCATTGGAGAGCTCTAATGGCTAACGAGACAGCTTTGTAAAAAAGCATCGCTGCGCTTACCGGACCAACTGACTTTAAGATGCACAACTCACATATTTAAAGTTATTGGATCAGTGCATTTCTGTTCTGCCATTTTTACCTAAGCAAGGAGCCGGGAGCCGATCCTGGGAGGTGCTGAACCCTTGCAGCCCCCAATGGACTTTTCTGGCTCGGATGCCAAACTCTTATGTAAAGTGCTTTGAAGATGAAAGACACTGTGTACATGTTAACAAATATTAGAGAATCATATAATGAACAGGCGTCAGTGCCTCTCTCCTCTCCCTCTCCTTTCAAGTGGGAGAGGAGTAACTTCACCAGCTCTGTGTCCACAACTCAGTTGAAGGGTTCCTCTATGTTCCTAAAATCCTGAAGTGAGGGAATTTCACACCAGCATGAACAATATGGAGTTTGAACGAGCCAGTTGACTTCAGTTCTCCTTAAAGCTTGTCCTCTTGGTAGATGATGTTTTCTGAATGTAAATATTTTATTCCTCTATTGATACACAAAAAGCCTTAAGATGTAGTTTGAATTTTAGTTTATCTTTACTTTAGTGGGGGATTCAGGATTTCGCTGCCCCTAAGATTTTAGAATGGCAACAAACTAACATCCATGTGTCTCCCAAACATGGGGAAGGATCCGGATCTGAACTTCTCCAATGTTTGGATCTGGGATTTTGAGTCAACTTGTGACAGGAATCAAAGTCTCAAAGTCTGGATCCGCTTTGGTTTGGACCAATCTCTAGTTTGTTTAAACTATTAAAATATTTTTAATATGTCATATGAATAGACTAGATCAGTCAATGTGGATTATCAGCCCAAGCTGTGTTGATGTTCCCAGACTGGGGCTGCCTGGTTCGGGGTGAAGGGTAGGGCCTATCACCGATGGTCAGGAAAGATTTGTGCTTCACCAGAGATCACTCCTTGACATATGTAAAAGCTTTGCTTCCTTGAAAATTATTTCACTAATTTGCAAACACTTGGGCTACTTTTCACCTTGGAAAGACTCAGGGAAGGGAATGCCTAGAGGTAGACAATAGCTTGGTGGGCTTTGAAAGAAGCCCTGGGGGTCTGATCCTGCTGCCACACCTCTGGCCAAACCTCTATTGACAGGAGCAGGGCTGAGATGGATCTTTGTTTGGTTGCACATCTTGCTGGCAGCAGAGTTTGTGTTGCTGAACTTCTCCTTGTAGGAGTTAATTGGTCAGCCACAGAGGAGCTGTTAGAGCAACAAGAAGAACAAGATCTGACAAGTGTGAGCAATGTCTCCAATGCTCCTAGCTTCCACCGTAAGACCTGCTGCATCACCATAGGCAGGCCGGTGCCTGCTCTGATGGGGACTATATCTTCTGACTTGCAGCAGTTTTGCTGTTTGCCCCAGATGGGGCAGCACATGGGATTGGTTGCATTGTGTTGAAGGGCCCAGCCAAGCTGTCCCAAGAGGAGCAGGACTGAATGCAGCACAGCAAAGCTTGTGCAGTTTATCTTCAGCCCTGTTGCAACTGGAAATAGGCCCATGAAAATTAGGAGCCAGATTTTAAACAGCCCCCTAGTTTGGGCATATTCGGGCTAGGTATAAAGGCGGGGGAATGTGTAAAATTCAAGCCCAGATTCGAGTGAAGGTTTCGAACATCCCCTAAACGTTGAGGGTATTCGGATCTGAGCTTTGGTGTGGGACGTTCCCAGGTCATGATGTTCATTTAAACACTTCCATGGATACTAAGCTTCTCCTTGTCCTTTGAGGCTATGATACCTCTCCTGTCCTGACCCATCTGCAGCCTCTGTGTGTGATCAGGCTCCTCTGCTGCCAAAGAGCTCTGTGGAGTCAGCCCCCTTGCTCCGGCTGGTACTTCTCAACGCAGATGTTACTGGTGCGTCATTGTTTATGCCGCAGGCCATTCCTTCCTGCGGCTCTTACATTCCATCCTTGGCCCAAGGAACTGCATGTTAACTTGGGAGTTTTTTACTCCCCAAAGGAGGCAAGAGTAAAAATAACAGTGACGAGTTACACTCCTGAGGATGATTTGCCTTGCTAGCACCACTTGCCTCTGCTGTCTTAGCTGTCCATCCGTAAAGCCCTGTGTGGTACCTAATGGCCTGATCCAGTGCCATTCTGCACACCCGCAACTCCCATTGACTGGGTCAAGTTCAGCCGGTCGCTGAGCTCAGCCATGGTGCTTCATTAACAGCCGCTAGGGCTGGACCCAGGATGGAGGGGAGTTGCTAGGCTCAAAGCATTTTCAGTGAAGAGTCCTTGACTTTGGAGCCCCCCCCCCCCCCCCGATCAGTTCATCTGCACCTGAGTTTACCCTCCCAGGTGCAGAGCCCTTAGCTCAGGTTTTGGGCTAACGGAGGTTGGTAACTAAGGGGTTATGCTTCAAGATTGCTAGGGAGGCTGCCTGAGCAGCTGTGCCCTTTATTAGGGCCCTGTGGCCATTGTAAATATGGCATGCGTCGTGTTGATGCAGAATGTAGTTGATGAATTGGGCTTTAGTGGGGTAAATGCTTCCACAGGCTTCGGGCAGGTGTTGCTTTATAACGATGCCTGTGTCCCTCTCCTCCCATGGGCATAGCTTGGTGGTGCCCACTGCCAGTGAGGTCATTCACTTTTGGCTACACTTCTCTAGTTACAAACTATAGAAATGATCCCTGAAAGTATAGTTACTAGTACTTCAAACTTTACCATTGGCTAATCAGCCTCCCTTTGCCTTGCGGCCAACTGCTTCACTGTCTTCAGGATGAACTCAGCCTCTGTGCCTGGTCCCAGTGCCTTATCACCACCCACCTGCCACTTCATTGTTTGCTGTTTCTTGCCAGGGGTGAGTTGCAGGTCTCACACCAGCTCTAGAGCACGGGTGGGGACTGGGTGGCCTATTAAGGGAGGGAAGGCAATAGAGGTTGCTGGCTGCAGGCCCAAGAGGGTGGGGAAAGGTCACCAGCTAGTACGATGGTGGGAGTAGTCTGGCAAACTGGTCTTGTTACCTGAACAAGTTGGGAAGCTCTGCCATGTTCTTAATCACTGCAACT